ACGAGAAAAGAGAAGACAAAACAAAAAATAAACAAAAAGGCCCTTTTCCAAGTCCAGAATAAGTGCCTAGGAATGGATGAATGGAACAAATGAATTGTAGTGAGAAGGTGAGAAGAGGAAAGAAGTAGATTGTAAAACGCATATGTGTAACACACAGAATTAAGAAGATGTAACGAGGACATGTATGAAAGCTGAATGTGAAACTAGCTGTCTGTGTTTCATCCCTAAGCTGCAACCACAGACAGTGTATGGTGTGGATTGGGGTGTGAATCATCAGTGCAGCATATTCGGTAGTTGCAAGAGGTATCTCAGCTCAACAGTGGCAGGACTGAATATGGTCCTTTTTTTTTGATCACCACTGCCAGCGGGCAGAAATACAAAAGAAAGTGATACCAGTCATATGCCCTTACGAACAGAAACTGATAAAAATGAACTTTGGGGACTGCGAAAGAAAAAAAAATTGGTGTTAGAAGGTTTGAATTGTGCAGAAGTTCTGCATTAAGGGTACCACATATTTCAGACTGTTGTAGGTGGCTGAAAAATGACAGTATTTGATTTTGAAGTTGAAATAGAAGGATTTCCTTCCTCCAATGTTTTGATGAACGCACGCCAACAAATACGCAGTTTTTTCTGCACACATTGAGTTCGAGAACTGTAGTTTGCATAATCCAGAATTTCTTGATAAAATACTGGAGGATGATTCGGAAGACATGCAAAATTATGCAGGTTCTGGTTCTTCAGCATATTTTGGTATCACCTGGGGCAACTTTCCCCGTTCCCTGATTGCTGCGATCGGAATTGCTCCACCCAGCAGTCAGAGGCTGATGAAACCAGCTTTCGCTTCCCTTTTCATTCCTTCCGAAGAAAAGTGCTGGACATTTCACATTTTCTTTATGCAGTTCGAGTTTTCATCAAATTTATGTAGTTGGGTGAAGGGAAGAGGGAGGGCTGAACTGTGGGAAATAGTTCTGGGTCGGTTGATTTGTATGAGAATAATGAAAATTTTTGGTGAAACTTTTGCAGCAAATCAATGACAATGTGTTGGCAGCATGCAATGAGTTCGATGTTGTGAAGTGTATCTCATGTCTTTCAACCTGCGTATTTCCCGACAAAACAACTTATCCTATCGATGAGACTATGGTACCTTTCATTTTTCATGCTTCATCCATGCATCAGGGAATTTATGTTAAATCAACGAGAATTTGCGGAAGAGAAATTATCGAAAACTGGTTTCGCAGGTACACAATGGACCCCCTCATACTAGCAATTTCGGTTATTCGTATGCAAAAAGAATGATCGATGTGCTGAACAAAGGCTATGCCCAGGAATTCGGACGGTGAGTTTCTATGACCAATGTATTCAAATTTATGAACGGCATGGATTGGAAGATATAGTACCTTTTCACAGCAGCTCTTCCCAAGATCACTGTACTTCTCGAACGCATTGCAGGAAGTATACATCGGTAATACCGTGCAATGTATTTGGGCCGCATGATAACTATAATCTGAACGATGGGCACGTTATTCCAGCGCTGATTCATAAAACTTACATTGCTAAACGCGACGGGAAGCCGCTGGAGGTGCTCTTTTTACTAGAGTAACTTGCACAGTTGCACTCGCTCTCTTTTTTTCCAGGTGATGCTAAAATTACCGGTTTGGATGATGTGAAAAAAAGCGACTACTAAATTCAGCGTTTCGGCGGCCAAATTCGTTTGAACGATGCTATTCAGATGTTAAATTTAAGGCAAAAGTAAGAGGCTCCAATTTCAGCGTGCTTTCTTAATTCTGGCTGTGAGTGCAGACTTTGTTGCAAGCTCAAAAATGAAAGTTAATCTCCCATTTGTCCTTTATTCCTCTCCTCCCTTACGTAAACGGGTAAGAGACGAAAGTGGTTGAAAGTGGCATGTGCCAACAGGAGTCTCCTACGGGTAAGACATTCTCGGGGAATTGACCAGAAGTGAGTTGACCGCAGTTTCAACTCTTGGAACGCGCTGCTATTGATTTACCGTCGAAAAAAAAGGAAAAATAAAGGAGTGTGCTGTTGCGGATTTGGTTATCCCACTGGCAGGGTCGATTTAGTGATGTGTACTGTGAGTTTGTTGGATTTTTATGTGCATCATCAACATTTTTATTTGTGTCTTAGGTGTACGGCAGTGGTACACCGTTACGGCAGTTTATTTATTCTTTGGATTTAGCGCGCCTGTTTGTTTGGGTTGTTCGAACATACGAGGTATCGCTTTTACAGATTTCTGTTTCGAAACGATTTTACAAATAAGCATTGTTTCTGCATGAATGTTATATCTGTTTCTAGGAAGTTGATCCAATCATTCTGTCTGTGGGCGAAGAGGATGAAGTTTCAATCACAGATGCTGTTAATGCCATTGTAAAAGCCTTCGATTTTAAGGTAGATTTTTGTCTTTTTGGAGGAAAAAAGACTTTCA